TTGCATTTTGTAAATTGATAAACATAAACAATTACAATACATATTTTTGAAAGCATTCTTATTTTACAGCATTTTTCACATGTGCCTAAAACTTTTGCACAGTACTGTAGATGCCAGGGCCCTGCACCAGAGCCCTGATGGATAACCACTGTGGAGCTGCTTCAAGCCATCTAAAGTTCTCTTTGCTCTCATGATAACCCTGATATTGATGGGTTTCCATCTTCTGCACCTGAAAACCTAGAACCAACAGCTGTAACTTTAGTACAGAATAGTTTATTTTCTTCCTCAGGAAGGTCTTCTGAGAACACTTCTGTAGAATTTGCCTTCAGTGAGTCAGATACGGAAGGACCTCAAGGACTGTGCCTCATACTATCTGAGAGGTTCGAAGGCAAGATGATAGTATGCTCCACTGCAGACATTCAGTCTGTTCTACTGTATATTTCCCCCCTTTGATATAGCTAAAGGTGAAAAGACCAGGGTTCTGCCATAATTGTCTTTCTGACAATTTTTTTTTTTAAATCAGATGAAGACCCCCCAAGCTTTGTTTTAGAAATGATTTTAACCTGAACAAATGAGTGAGCTCATGAATGATTACCCAATCAGATGCAGTTTTGATTATATAACATGCTTTGTTTTTGTTGCTGTTTCTGTGCAAAAACCATGCAAAGGTTTCAGTGCTATTTCCGTGTTTAATGAATATCCCTTCTAAACTTTCAGGAGATGGAATTTATTCTTCCCATATAAATGGCTGAGTTAGCCAGAATTCTGCCAGTCACTATGTCCACTCGCCAGGAAGCAAAAACCAGACTTCAAAACATCATTTTCCATTTCTGAGCTCCAATCAAAACTTCTCTCTTGCAGTTTACAGCTCTGCATGAATTCTTTAAGCTGTCTGAGCTCATCTTATTTTTCCTCCAGCTGCTGAAGTTCTCCTTTACTTCTATGCCTGCTCTTTCCCTGCAACCTTTTTTTGCTTGAAAACGCATGTGCTCTACTTCAAAACTCTTCTGCCACTCAGTTTTCTTAAAATAATGTTTTCATTCTTTCCACCTTTTTCTCTTGCAGAGAATGCTGTGGTGGTCCTTTCCTAGCACCCAAATCATGCCAGGGTAACATCAAGAAATCTTAGGATCCAAAGAGCTCTCTGTGGAAAAATGGAGCAGTCTGGCTAAATTGAGAAGATACAAGTGATGACAGTCATTCCTCCTGAAACCATGGCAACACCACTAATACACACCAGGCAGAGACCTGCATGCTGGTGACATATATATACACACATCAAAAGGAATGGAAGGTACTGAAACATTGATCAGGATCATGTGTTCTATTGATTAATTATTACATCAGAAGGGCTGAAGCCCCCAGCTCATAGTCCTAGATAGTTATTAAATGGCTCAAAATTTTGATTTTCACCCCTCTGCCCCCAAAAGATGTGTCTCAAACCCTGATAAAATCTGGCAGTTGAAACAAAATGTTAAGGCATAATTCTGCACAATTGTTGTGCATGAAATAACCTTGTTATAATCTTCCAGTGAGTGTAGTAAATGAAGCCCCAGCCACATTTGACCATTTTTCAGCAGTGCTAACTCTACTGATAAATGCAGCATGAACACTTGGTGCAGAGACTTCTTGGACATTGGAATCAGGCTTTGTTGTTTTTTTCCCCTCTTAGAGCAGTAATTATTTCCATATAAAGGTTTTTGTTTTTTGGCTTCCAAGCAAGTCACAAAACATGTCCCACTAAATGATATGCTAAAATTATGGGGCAATGTAGTTACATAAAATAGCTTTCTATTAGAAATGTATATGCGTGTACACATGAGTCTTGCAGACAAAGGAGCATCCTGATATAATTTGACAGTTCTATGATAGTCCCAAGCTTGATCTTACCTGAAGCGAGGGAGAACAGGATTTTCATCTCACGTTAAGTTTACTGGGAACAGGAATTTTAATTATTTGCAAACACAGTACCTTTCTTGTTAAAACAATATTAAGCTGGAGTAAGGCCATATATGTGATCTTACCAAGTTCAAGGTTCTGTTTTTCTCCAGAGATATGTTCCTAATATGTACTATCACATGGAAAGTTCCTCAGGCAAAATCTGCTTTAGGCACACCTCTACTTTAAAAATACTGTTAACAGAAAAAGTAGAGGTTAACATACTTCCTTGCAAAGTTCTTGTGATCAGCAAATAACAGAATTTACCAAAAAGCTCCAGATGTTTATACACATTAACTCACAAGGCCCATGTCCATCTTGTAATCTTGTGATTTATAAAACAGTCAGCATTCAACAGTTGCCCAACTTCTGAGCAATTGGTTCAAAATATCTTTCAACTGGAGTGCTATTCTATCTGAATTCCATAATTTTCCAGGTAGAGATGATGATGATGATGATGATGATGATTGTGACCTTCTGAATTGATGATAATGATAATGATGATGATGGTGATAATGATGATTGTGGCTTTCTGAATTGTTTGATTTTCCATAGTTCTTGGTTTAAAAATTGGGCTGTAATCAGTGCTTTTAACAAACCCTTTTGAATGGATACACCAGCCTCCTCAGTATCTTTGCAGTTTTCTCACTAGGAAATCATGCTAATGGATTCTCATTTTATGAGGATTTTCCTCCCAAACATGCATTAGCACCTTTATGTTCACTTTCTAAGAGATGATACAGAAAGAAATTAATTACATAAATGTACTCATCCTTTTAGTTAAATAGCATAATCAGATTTTGTGTGGTGACCGCTAATAATTTAATCAATAGATTAACTTGTTTTAAATTGGATTTTTAATAGATAACTACATATTCCAGGCTATTATATAATTTAATGAAAGTTAAGTATTTTGAGAGAGTCACTTTTTGTTGTTATTGGCTTGATAGAGTATATACTGTTTATCATTTGCATTTCTATTGTACATTAATAGTTAATCTCCTCCAATCCTATTATTCAGACCTAAAAAAAAAAGCCACCTTTAATGGAAATATTAATATATGTATGGGAATTCAGCTACAGTGTGCCACTTTTAGATCCCACCAATTTCAGATTGAATCCTGTGTTCTCTTGAGGATTGTTTTCATTTTCATACAGTGGCTAAATAAATACAAGTAATAGTGAAGAGATCACAAAATATTTAGGCTGGCTCTACAGAAACTACAGATGAAGTTTCTATGATGTGAATTTGCTACAAGTTAGCATGAATTGGCTCTCATTTGGCCTTAGAATTTGTCCTGTGACACCACACGCATAATTAAAATGAACAGACCACACACAACCTTCATCTTGTCAAAAATTATCTTCCATGCACTGTCAGGAACAATCACCAAATACTTTTAACCCCTTATTTATGTTATGGATTGTAAATTGTTATAATTCAACTGCAGCATAAGAACCACAAGTCACTCTTGCTCAGATCTTGGACGTCCAATAGACAAAACTTGTTTATTGTTAATATTGTGCATTTCAAATATTTAATGGCACATGCTAGCTCAAATCCAAACTCAGAAATAAAGTCAAATATGCAGTTAAAATCATATTCAGTGCCATTCTTGCCTACAAGATGACTTTAGCAAAAAATAAAGAACAAAATATAGATTGTTTTTTAAAACAAACCAATGCATGGTTAGTTTTCAAATAAAACTATTTACAGGAAGAATTGTCCTTCTATAAGCTATGATACATGTTTATTAAAGCCTATAATGCTTCTGGACTTTCCTCCCACCTTCACTAAGCATCCTCCCAGATGTTGTGGTAGCAACTGACGTTGTAGTTGTCACAGATCAAGACCAGGCAATTATTCCAGCCTAGATTTCACAAATTTATGAAGATTGCTGCACAATGTCCACAGGTCCCCTTGTTTCAGCTGAACTATTTTCCATTTAAGCTACATTCAAAAATAATAATCTGTTTTAAAACATACACAGCCTATGATCCTGCACATACTTAATTGGTCACCTGGATTACAATAGTTTATTGTACTGACATCAACATCTTTAACATGGTAGTACTGAAGCTTCTCCATACAGTAACTTGTTTTAATATATGACAAAAATTCTGGCAGCTTGGAAAATATCAGAATTAGGGAATGACATGACACCGGCAAACTAGATAGGACACTTGGGATGGGCTGCCTGGACAAGTCTAACCTCAGTCAATCAGAACAAGACTTGGCCTAAAAGGTAAATCAAGGTCTGTGGTTATCCTTTAGAGAGGATCTTAAACCTAGACATAGGGAATCTCTTTGAAACAAGCTTTCTTTTAAAAAAAAATCAGAAACAAAAACTTGTCTAAACATTAAATAAATTGCATTTTATAGAACATATTACATATAATAATTGAGTGATAACTGAGCTGAAAGTGTGTGTCTTCCTCTGATATATCATTTTAATTGATATTTGATAGGGCTATAAATATGACTCAATACTGACAGAGGCAAATTCAAGGACTGGAGAAATTTTCTTTTTTTGTCTTTCCATATTATTTCCCTGACTTTTAAAATATATTTTTAGTTCCAACTCTTTTTCTCCAACTCGAGAGCAGATTTAAATCTATTTCCTACCATAACACCCAACGGGAAAGCAAAAAGGAAGGCCAAACACCTGTCCTTCATAATCATTGCCTGCCTCACATTTATGGATCTATGGCAGCAATTATGTTAATCCACCTGGCTCTATCCAGTAAATAGTATTGTTTCCATGAAAACTCATCCTCTGAAAAGCATTAAAAATTTTGAAGGACTGTGCAATCAAGACTTAAGTGCAGGAATCTTTTCAACAGCTAACTAGTGTAAAGACTCCTAGTTCATGTTACCCTTTCAGGTATAGAATAAACTAGAAAACAAAATAGTTCTTACTCCTGGAGATTTTACATTAGAATCATGTTTTTGGAACATTAAATCTACAAAACAGGATTTTTTTTTAAGTACTGGAGACAAGTTGACTAGAGGTTAGTTTTGAATTTACTGTATAAACTCATGGATAAGCCAAGAATTTTAGGTGCCAAAATACATCCCCAAAATTGGCTTCAGTTTATCCGCGGATGGGCTTATACACAAATATAAATGGTAATACCTTTTAAAAGTACCCATATGTCCTGTATACACTCGAGTATAAGCCTATCTGCAGATCAGCAGACCCTCAAAATACTATGAAAGTGCACCACCCATAGATAAGCCACTTGTGAAAATTAAATCCTGAAAATTTTGAGAGTTGGCTTATTCATGGGTGGATGAATTTTGTTCATCCATTTGAATTTTGAACATCCATTTTGTTCAAAAATTCAAGGGTTGGCTTATATGTGGATGGGCTTATACATGAGTATATACAGTATGTTTAAAATAGAAACCCTGATATTGTAAAATAAATCTTTGCTATCACAAATCAATGTGTTCAGATGACAAAGTATTAACTTCTTATTTTCTCATTACAATTTTCATTTAAAATAACCAAAGAATCTAGATTGCGCATGTGGGTATATGAGAAAAAATGTTTATGATTTACTATTTTGTAACAGCTTCCACTGCGAAGTGTAAAATCAGGACGAGTTTGGTAGCACTTTTTTGACTAACAAATTTTATTAAAAGGCATAAACTCTCATGAGTTGCATCTCACTTCATCAGATGCACAGAGTGGCTAGACTGACGTAGGATTTAAATTGGGGTGAGGCAGGAGGGGGGAAAGGAGGAGAAGACAGGTTATCTATACAGATACAGGATATACATGAGACAGATTATAAGTTCTTTAACAATTAACAACTGTGATGTATAATTTACATCACAAAACCTATACCTTTTAACATTTGTTAAATGGAAAAAGTAGTACCAAAGTCCCTCTGATTTTTTTGGCCATCATAGACTAACACAGCTCTCCTCCCACGCTTTCAAGCATGACAGAATTGTTTCTTTTCCTTTACACAACTGTTGTATTACAGCTCCCATCACCCCCAGCTCCCAAGGTTAGCCAAGATGGGGCTTATAACAAATCTGGAGGATACTACATTGGAGGTTTTGCTTGGTACACTTCACATTGCTCATCTCTATCAAATTTGCTGCATGGGCTAGGATGTTTACAAAATTTCATATGCTCAGCCATAACCAGATAAAGAACGGAGTGCAGAAACAGGGGCTGCATCTGCAGTTTCTTTCCTAGTCCAGCTGCCAGGCTCTGTGTTTTTGTATAGGCATATGTGGAGTTCTGCTAGAAAATCAACAATAATGCTAAATAATTGCTTGTGAAAGACAGTAAGCTGAACTTGACTTCAGGCAGTTACATCTCCATGTCATTTTCTTGGCAACACTATGGAAATGGTTTGCCACTACCTTCTTTTAGATACAACCCTGGCATTCCCCAGAAGTCTTCCACTAAGTGTGCCTGACCCTGCTTAGCTTCCCAGTCCAGGTCCTGCCAAGGGCTGAGACATGAAGGAGTGGGCAAACTAGAATTAGCCCCTCTCCCAAACAGTAATCAAAGTACCAATCAATGTGAATTCCCCTTCTCTAAAATGGCTACATAATTATGTGTCCTGACTGCTGCCCACACATTCACTCAAATTTTCATCCCACTATTTCCTCAGGCAGTGGTAGCATTTTTCAAGCTAAGGCCATGGTTTCTCAGAAGTATGAGCCTAACAATGCTGCTAGCAATTTCTTCTGCTGCTGCTAAGGCTTGAATGAGGAACGAAGCGACCCAAATTTCTGGAAGAAATCCTCCTCGGCACGGACCAGAGCTTCTTCATCAATGTAGATGGCTGCTCTTCTGGAGGCTACGAAATATTGCACTTTCCTCAAGTTCCATCCCAGCACATATTTTAACCAGCCACAAATTGCCGCTGTGGACCTACCAACACCTGCATTGCAGTGAACGTAGACAGTGTGCCCATTCTCCAGCAGCCCATGTAGGAGATAGACAGCCTGAGGTAGCATCTGTACTCTTCCTGGAATTAGAAACAAGATAACTGTCAAATGCATGCTCTCTCTCAACTCTCTCCTAGATCATCCTGTCCCACCCCAATTGGTCTGATGGTACTTGCAAAAATTCCTACTTCTTCCTAGGCAGTAAGTTTTTCTTTTTTTCTGAGTAGCAGGGCATTTCAAATAACACAGTGGTCTCCAACTTCACACCATCTTTATTTTCTGTGAATCCCTCCTAAGTTACATGGAGAAGGATTTTGAGCAATAAGGCCATGCACCACATCTGATTCCGTTCAAAAAGGTATTTTGAAGCATAGAGGAGCACAAATATGGCACTTGTCTGCAACTCTTAAAGCAGCCATGTCATTTCCTAGGCCCAGATGCCTGTCTTTATCTGCTGTGTGATTCCAGGAAAAGATGTAGTGACTTTCATGTGATGTAAACAGATGCCACATTTGTGTGCCTCTGTACCACAGAGCATCTTTTTGGAACTGAATCTGAAGTACTGCACTGCCTTATTGACAAATAAGTAAGTGACAAGCTTCACTTCACTTGAAGAAGCACTTCAAGCTACCTAAAATAACATTTCTCTCTCTCTCTCTCAGGTATCAGCAGGGCATTTCATAAGTATAAACAAAAAAAGCTATCTGTGAGTGACACCACTTCGCCAGTAATGGTATCAGTGGGTTGGGTAGGCAGAACAAGTACTAGGATGCAGCTGTCAATCCAATGCTAAAATATCCTATCTTAAAGTTTTTCAAACTTGGCAACTTCAAGATGTGTGGACTTCAACTTCCAGAATCCCCCAGCCAGCTGATTTAAATCATGCTCTATTCTCTTAAACAATTTCACCAACCATTTTAAAAAGTTATCTTTTGTTTAAGTGTCTTTTTATCTTTTCGTTTTGTTTTGATCATTTCTGATATTCCACCGGCACAATTATTTGTATGTCTCTTCCTAATCACCCATGTCTGGCTCAGTAAGTCCTATTATGATTTCAGGGATGAAAGTGATTTTTTCTTTGTTTTGTTTGTTTGCTGAATGAGTAATGAGAAGTGGACACAGACAGATAACCTAGTTTCATGATCATCCACCACCTAGGGTGACTTTAAAAACACTGTATATTGGAGCCAAACAGCTGAGAGCGACCTCATTACTCTATTTCTGCTAGCAATTGTTATCAAGTATTATCAATGGTTGGCCACATAGGGGTCTTTAGCAGCCTTCCAAATGTCCCTTTCATGCCTCGCTTTGCTTGCAGAATAAAAGAATTGGCAGAATTCTCCTGTACACAGGTTGGAAACAGCCTATGCTAGCTTGAAGAACTGTTGTTCACATTATTTGCAGAAAGAAAGTGAATCAAGCAACAAGCAATCCTAGAAGAAATTGCTCCAAGAGGAAGAACAGCAGCGTAAAAGTACCTCAAATATCTATATAAAGGTTTGGGGGGTTTTGGTGCCTTCAAGTCAATGTTGACTCCTAGTGACTGCCTGGACTGGTCCCTGCAGTTTTCTTGGCAAGATTTTGGAAGTGGTTTGCCCTTGCTACCTTCTTATTGCTGAGAGAGGGACTGGCCCAAGGTCACCAAGCTGGCTTTCTGCCTAAGGAGGGGCTAGAACTCACGGCCTCCCAGTTCTAGTCTGGTGCCTTAAGCACTACACCAAAGATATCTACACAACATTTGTAATAAAAAGATTTGCATATCTTTGAGAAACAATTTTGTCTGTGGATTCAAATATAAATGCATTTAAGTTCCTTTTAGCCATCTTAACATTTTAAAACAGAAGTAGGTCTTTTTTTTAACTGTTAGATTATCCTGCTTCCTAGCTGGAAATATGTTGTGAACCAAACAAGACAAGAGTGGGTGACTTCTGGGTGGAAGAGGCTAGATAGAGGGGTGAAGGCTGGGTGAAAGCTCCCTACATACACTTACTTTTACCTTTAGAGAAAAGGCAGAATATAAATGTAATACACATATATATAAAACACACCCACACAGATATCTTGCATGCACATATTCTTCTTCCTTCTTGTAAAATGGGCAATCTCTTGTGATGGGTAACACATTGTGAAAAACCTGGAGGCAGCATATAATCCGTGGATTGCTACCTTTGTGGCAAAAGAGCCAAATAAAAATAATGCTAATGCTGAATAATTCCAACAGATCCCAAGTGTTTGTTTACTAAGTGGCAGGACCAGTCCACAAAGTTTTCAGAAGACAACTTTGCCTGCAAATATATGCTGATTAACTCTAAGTTAGATATATGAACTAAAAATTTTACTAACATGTTAACACATTAATTCATTACCAAAAACTCTACACAGAGACTACTTGCTTCCTATTCAATTATAAATTAGATACTCTGTGTGTTTAATGCAAATTCTGAAATTGTAAATTAACCATGACCAACTCCTATACTATCTTCTGTATAATAGAGCAAAGTGAGAAAATTGTGGAGTTCTGTTTTGATTAATGTATATGTGAGTTATGACACTTGTAGAAGTTCTTATTATCTTGTGTATCTTTTTTTTAATTTGTCTGAAGTACAAAAGAAATTCTTTTCAACCACAGGTAAACTGATTGTGAATTCCATTTCCCCCATTTCAAATGATACAGTATGTACTTTCCAACATTATAGCTAGTTATGTGGCATAAGTAATGTTCACATTGTTATAATAACTGAATCAACAAAAGCTATTAAATATTCATAGGTTTTGTAGTCTTTTTATTGTATAAAACTTTGTCATACTTTGTAATGGTATGTGGGAGATAGGAGGAAGAGCTGCAGCAAGACTGATGTCAGCCTTGTGAGGTAGTCCTGACAAAAAGCACACCCAGAAGAACTAGCTCTACTTTATCGTACAGTTACAATAACAGAATCTAGCAAGTCTGAAAGTACGTTTCTCCCGTCACCTTTACAGCTCAAGAAACTAGGGAGGGCCCCTTCTGAGAAGTTTGCCATGCCCACATTCCTCCTGCGGGCTAAACTGCCTCTTATCCGACCATTGCCCTGGCTGCAGATCTTCCCCCTGTCTCCCAAGGTCGTTCCCACATACCATTACACCTACCTTGTAGGGTTGACACTCCATTGTAAGAGAGGGACAAACCTGTCACAAGAAACAGTTGGCAGGAGATTGTTCTGCCCTTCTTGTCACAAACTACAGTTATCCTGACACTGCAGAAGCAAGAAGAAAGGACATTCTGGTCCTTCCTATCAGACAAATAAATAAGAATCATGGATTAGTGGAGCAAGAAAATCACCAAGGGAAGACCTACCTTGCCAGTATTAGATAGAAATACTTGCTAACAGCATTAGCGGTTTGTTTTGACCTTGCAAAAACTGATCTTTTCTTTCCTTATGTGTCTTGTCTTTTTCAATTTATAAGCTTGATGACAGGATTCATTTACCTATCTCTCTGTGTGAGAGACAAAGAGAGCTGCTTTGGGAGACAAGAACTGAGAAAAGCAGTAAAAAAGTGTACTAAATAATGAACCTTATAACAGATAGAACAGGCCATTAAGAAAGCAACTATGGTGCTGGTAAGCTAATGAAAGGAGCATGGATTTCAGACTGATGGCGGGTGTAATATTTTGGGAAGGCTGAATTTAGTAGTAGTTTCAATAATTACAGGTAGTCCCCAGGATAAGAACACCTGGTTTACAGATGACCCATAGTTAAGAATGCTATTGTAGCAAAATTCGAGTTAAATACACAATGATTTGAATTAAATACACGATGGTTTGAGTTCATTACACAATGCTACTTATACAGTATTATACAATAATACTGTTCTGATTTACATACAAATTCGACTTAAGGACAGGCCTTGGGAACAGAACTCGTTCTTAAACTTGGGCCTACCTGTTATCTATTCAACCTATTACGCATAATGCTAATTGGATGGCATCTATGATATTACCAAGGCAATGTCCTACCTCTCTAGTATGTCATAAAATAAATCTGTATTTTAATAAGCTAAGAAGTATATCAATTGATGTACATATGGTGCTTAAGAGTTTTTTTTTTAATTAGCAATCTGCAGATCAGCCAATAATTCAATTTGATTGGCTGCTCTGTGCATCTTCTGTAAATTACTGAATTTACAGAAGAGCGCATCTTAGCATTCTTCTATTTTTATGTCTGTCTCATCTTAAGCTTTTCACCAAAAAACCTAGCATTCTATTCACTATATCACCTGAAGGTGCTTATTAATCGTGCTCTGGTATTGGAGGTAGGAGTGATCATTTTGGATTTCAAAATCTGAAGTGGGTTTCCCTAAGAAAATAAAGTTGCCCTTTACAGAAACTAAACTGTCACTGAATATATACAGTCAAGAGTCCAGGAATAAGAGCCTTGGGGAACCTGAATTTATTTACCTTTCAAGCCCAGAGAACCTATAGAATCTAGCACAACATATACAGGGCATTTTTTAATAGCAAGCCTGGGAAGGAGGAAAGAATGAGGTTGTTACAAAATCAAGCACCTTTTACCTCATTTACAAGCAATAGGTTCCATTTTAGCAACTGTGGATAAAGCAGATAAGGAAGATTGGGTTCAATAAAGAAAATGTAACAATGAAGCAATGTGCGTGAGGTAATAGAAAATAATTCAATGTACACTAAGTACTTTGTTCTACCACATATTTTTCTAATTCACATACTGGCAGTTCCAAAATTAAGTATTTCTGCTCCAGGCATGATCCTATGATCCTAATTAACATGCAGTGTGCTTCCACAACAACTACAAGCACAAACTTCTTTTGGCCCTTCTGTTCTCTTGTGTAGCCCATCTTTTAATGAAAGAATCAGATTCACTAATAAGAATGTAAAAACCCAACATCTCTGCCAGCAAGAAAAAGGAAACAGAGGTAAAGAACAAGCAAGAGGACACAAATGAAATGGCAAGCATAACTAGACAGTGCCCCTTGGCAAATGCCTGAAGTCTGATAATAATAATGTGGAGAAGACTAGAGCATATTCAATGCTTATGTTCCTTCTGATTTTGCAAGTGGCGAAGTCTCATATTCACATGATATGTTACTGAAGAACTACTTTGCACTGAAGCTGCAACTAAAGAACATGTTTAAACCATACTACAATACAAGCATTTTTTAAAAAAAGATGGAACTGCATTCAAATTTTATCTACAGAAATCCCTTTACAAAAGCTAAATACTCTGTAAGTGCTGATTAAGGTGAGGTACAAGAAGGAGTAAAGTTGACCTCTCTTCTTTCCTCAGTGAGTAACATGAATTCATTAATCCATAAGGAGGAACACGAAATCAAGCACGGTGGCCACAATGTCACTGATTCCCTACTCAACAAGGAACATGGAATAGGACTAAAAGTTGGTCAGTGTTTTTAACTAAATGTATCCTACTTTCTTCCCAGGATATTACTTTTCTAGGGAAGGTTCCGTAGCAGTAATGACCTTGAGAGCATATGCTCATGGAAGTGCATACTCCTGATAGAATAACCCTTGCTTGAGTAATATCAACAGGGGAGAGGTGGAACAAAGAGCAATCCACAATGAAGGAGATGGGAAGGAGAGTTGTACTGGTATCATGAAAGCCAATCAATTTAGGATACAGAACTCCAAAGTCATTCTAAAGAAGACAACAGCAAAACACTTTTATCTTGTTGCTAAGAAATTTGTATAAACATTTAGACAAGTTGTATGCCAGATGATGAGATTCTCCCCTAGACTGGAAGACATTTTTCTAGCTACTGAGGAAAAATGTCAAACTTCCACTAGATTTGGAGGTGATAAAGTGCCCAAGAACAAACCTACACTAATGATACCAGTATTGAAAAAGAAGTTGTCTTCCAAAGCCAAAAACAATTAGAACATGGAATTTTAGAAGCACGAACCAAGAAATTCTAGAAATGTCAAAGCAGGAATGTTAACATACTACATGCAGTATTTTAGGAATAAATGAATTTAAGTAGACCAGAATGTGCTACTTTAAATCAGATGTTTATATGATATTCAGAGCAAGAGACTTTTATCTTGTTGCTAAGAAATTTGTATAAACATTTAGACAAGTTGTATGCCAGATGATGAGATTCTCCCCTAGACTGGAAGACATTTTTCTAGCTACTGAGGAATACTCTATGCAAAAGAATTGGAATAATACTCCAAAAGTACAATGCTAAATATAAGCTTGGCTATAAGCCAATAAATAGAATGATATCTATTAGAATCAGTGACTATCTAATGAACATCCATTTTATATAAGTTCTATGCTCCTAATATAGATGTAATGGCAGAAGACACTGACAAATTCTATGGCAGAGGTGATAAATGCAACATCTAGAAAGGATGTAGTGCCACTAATGGGTGATTGGATGGACAAAGTTGGAGAAAAAGAGTTCCTGGAATTACAGGAAGATTTGAATTGGAAAATGAAACAAAACAGGAAATAGGTTAATAGAATTTTACAGAGAGAATTCTTTGTTCATTTTGCCAAAACCTGCTTCAACCAACATAAATACAGGCTCTACAAATGGACATCACCAGATGGATAATGTGACAATCAAATTACTTCATGGGAAACTGAAGAAGGATAAACACAATCCAAACAGCCACAACACTTCCAAGTGCAGATTGTAGACAGAACATGAATTTTGGTGTTCAATATACAGGTTAAGCTTTAAAAAGAAATAAAGGATCTAGGTATGCTAGCACCTGTGGGACACGCAGTCTGAATGCAAGATTTATTTTTATGTATTGGATTTATATCCTGCCTTTCAAGCAGGATTTGAAGACAGTGAACATAATGCTCCCTCCTTCAATATTTCTCCACAACTACTACCCTGTGATGTAGGTCGACAAATAGAGAAAAATTAACAAGAAAAGGAAAATGAGAGACACTTTAAAGATTAGTGAAATCTTTAAAGATTGCCAACAGCTGTATGTCAATACTTACAGAAAAAGTGATGTGGAAAAGACTGGTGTGTATATGCTCCATATATGGAACAAGGAAGATGCAGGAGGAAGTGTGTATTACTGAACCCATTGCACTAATTCTTCAGGAATGAAAGTTTTACTTAAGATCTTACAAAGAAGAATAGAATCATATATGGAAACAGAGATGATAAATGAATAGGCAAGTTTCAGAAAAGCCAGAGGGACATGAGATCACATTGCTAATATAAGATGGAGACTTTTTTAGACCAAGCTAATGGAATGAGTTTTTACCTTTACTCAATAAAGCAAGTTTTTGAGTATGCAGATCATGCCAGAATTATAGATTTGAAGACAGTTATTTAGAATACCAGGGTTGCAAGAAGAGTGATCAATCAGTTGGTCTTTGAAGAAATAAAATGACTGCTCCCTTGAACTGATTATTAGCAAGCAGAAACCCATATATTTTAGACATGTGATGCAAACAGATGATGGGACTAGAAAAAATGATTAGCTTGGCAAGATTGAAGGAAGTAGAATATAATGTATTATGTGGATGGACAGCATCATAACTATCACTGCAAGTTTTATAGGAAGCCTCTCTCTACTTCTGATGTTTTTTTTAGTCTGACCTTTTCCCCTATGCCAGCCATTCCCATATATATGCCCCAAACTAGACAGTATAATCAATTATGTGTAATAAATTTTCCAAATTTTTTTTTTAATGGAAAGGTTACAAACAAGGTGAGAAAGCAGGAAATGTATAGCATCTAATGTTTTCCACAGCTATTCTTTTTCAACTCAAAACTACCCTCCCAAGCAGTAGGAGCAATTCTAAGCCGAAATAAAAAGCTTACCAAGGAAAGGGTTAAGCATCACATCAGTGTTGTTCTGCTTACTGCAGCTTATAAAGTCTGTTTTTTCAATGTTTTAAAAAACACACAGAACAATATTAATTTTAACTTTGCATAGCATCTAGTCTGGCCCAAAGAGGAATTTGAATAGGAACTTGTGGTGAAATAAAAGCACCACTTATTATTTGCCATATCTGCTGTAAAACTATTGATGAAAAATATAAACCTCAAATCCTGTTTATATAGTTTCAAATGAGTATCATTATTTTTAATAAAACAGTTTCAACAGAAACTACATTCTTCATATTTCATTTCAGAAGATCAGACATGGCTGTAAAAATGTGGATCTAATAAAGCTAACTGAAGACAAGGAGAAGGAACTTCTCTCAGAAGATAAAGTTTTGTTGAAAAAAATCCTCAGTCTAAAGGTCACCCTAGCTTAATTAATTTGAAATGATAAACATTCAGCAAACATAAAGGGAATATTTTCCCCCTTACCCTCCACTCTAAAACTGGGCATACATAATCTTTCTATACCTTAATACTGTCATTGCAGGAATGCTCAGTTCTTCTTTCCCAATTGAGATACGAGGAATAGGTTTAATAGGATTGACATGACCAACACAGGCAATAAATGTTAAAATTCTTCAGGGGAAGTCTGTTCAGTTTCCTGCTTGGCAGTCAGACAAAGGCTATATTTTTATGGAAAGCAAGCTGGGTGCTTGATTATCAACTTGGGCTCCTTTTATGGGTTTATTTTGCTGATTCTTAATCTTTTGTTACTCTTGATTATTGTGATTTTATTAATTATTGGCTGGCTATTCTGTCTGTTAAATTTTAATTGTTGTTTTCATTATCTATTTTGTTACTCTTTAGTTTTAAGTGACCTCTAATTCAAGAGGGCGAGGCACAACTATTTTGTTAAGTAGTACATAAATAAAGATCTGACTTGGTCCTGCAACCTGGAATAACACAAACATGAAAAGTGTTACTAGAAGAATATTGATTTAGCCTAGAAGCTATTTTAGGAAAATAAAGGATCAAAGTGAAATTGATTAATCATGTAGCATTTTAGAAACTCACAAGGAGTAGTTATGACCCTATTATTTGGTTGCCTTACAAATACCCAGAATCTTATAGTGCTTCAAAGCGCAATATATTTATTGTGGCATGCAATTTCAAGTGTATAATTCATATGCACAAAAGTGACCTTGATTAAGTGATCTTAATTAACTGTGATTATTTGATAGTTTTAAGGACAATATTCCTGGGGCAAAGAGAATATATGTGATGAAACAAATAATTTTACTTTTGAGATCCATCCTGCTGCTACATTTATATATGCAAATAACTATATGCTTTGAGTAGTACTGATAGAAATTAATTATAATCTATTGGGTATAGATGGTTTTCTTATCTTTACAAACACCACCACCATATTATTAATCTCTACAGTAAAAGCAGGACTTTCCTTTCAATATTGTTGAATATTCAGTACATTCTAAGAGTACACAATGCATAGTTAACTATTATGCTTAAAATGAGCTTTTATGAGTGAGATTTGCTTGTTAAATCCTTAGGATTCTCCACGAGTGCTATAATGCAAAATCTGAGGTTAACAGTACATTTGTAAAGCTACATTATTCAACTATATCATTGAATGAATGTTTTGCTAGAGATGGAGTGTGAATATTACCTTCAGTACTCATGTCTGGTGTTGGCATCCAGACGTAAGCAAGGCCTTCATCTTTGTACAGCTTCATGAGAACCTCTGGGCTCATTGGTTCTGGATAGCGGTTGCATCCCCAGGAATTCTGAACTACATCCCATTCGGTCTGGAAGTTCATTATAGCTGTAATACCCAACTCATGTTTTAGCTTGACAGTCACATGTTCCACTTGACGAGGGCAACTTCCTAACCATAGATTTGGCAAAATCCTGTTCAAAGAGAAAAATATTGAACTAATGAATGTTACAAGACTTCAAGGATTTATTTAAGTCAGTAACATGATTAATTGATGGGTAGCCATTTTCTACAATTCATGTTTAAATAAAAACTTACCAAATATCACAAGGAACTTGAAATTCAAGGAAGAAATGAAGGAAAGAAAATATAATTTATTCAGGCTTGAATCAACTCCCTCATGCTGTATAATGATTAGGAAAGGCTTTCATGAAGGACAAAGAAAAACATATTCCCTTGAAAACAATTTCTAGCATCCTAAGGAGTCCACTTCATACTTTGGCCAGATAATTTCCCATACATTATAGCAACTACTACTTACTGGACACAAAATAGAATATTGCACATGAAAAATCTGCTGTCAAATCTTGCACAAAGAAATCAAGTAATGGACCAATATATGGCTACAAACATATTTAGCTGACCCTTATTGACACTGAGTTTAGTTATTTGGACTTCTGAATTAGACTGCCAGAGAATTAGTTTGGGTATTATGAAACAGGTTATTTATCACTTGTATTCCATTATCATTCTCATTCTAGCAATTTACTCAGAAGACAATGTTCTTAATATCGACTTAAGAAACCCTCAGAGAGTAACATATTTGTCAAATTATTTCACTCTTGTGAGGATTGTCACTATATGTTATGATAGCAAATTCTATAATTCTTCCATAGATACAAGGCTTGTCACATTTGATTGTATTTTAATGATGTTAGTTTAAATCTTCCAGAAATGTGCTTCTCTGTAATAGCTTTGCTTTCCCATAGTGGTAACTAATACACTAAGCACTGGATGATGCGATTTTAACTAGAGGGCCATTTACATGATATATAAGCCTTGTATGTTTCTTATATTTCTTTTTCCCAGAAATCCAGCTACTTTAAGAAAGCAATTCTCCCTTTCATCTGTGTCTAAGATAGTGTTTGACTAGACTGAGAAATTGATTCACTTTAGAAAGTAGTCCACTGAGAGTATAGTTTAAAAAGCCTTTGATTTGGCCTGAAACACAACAAGAACTGCCAACTTTCAAAGGCTGAGAAACAAGTTGGGGAGGGGATCAAGGTGAGAATAAACTTGTTTATTACAAGAAGATAGACAATTTTATATAATTAGAGATTTGACTGTAGATCACTATCCTGTGATTTCTGAATACATTCTGAAAAAAAGTACTAAACTTATTTGAAATGAATGAAATTCAATCATTCCATCATAACATACATAGATCGTATCAATCAAGACCATTAATAAATTTTAACAACACATATATCTACTTATTTTAATTGTTAGATTCTCTTAATTAAAATTTAATTTAATTAAGCATGACCAGTTCTCTTGAAAAAACATTAGGATGATGATTTGGGGACTGAACTTGAATCTCATTAGAAATCTTTGTGGCACAGAATTACTTTTAAATCTATGTCAGCAGCTATCAAGAAAAAATGATTATAAAAATGATCCATCAGTGCTATTATACTCAATTAGATTATACTATATAAACTGCAACTCTTCTAGATTATCTTGCCAAAGGTATAAACAAACTAGTATACATTTTCCTCTTTGGCAATGCTTTTGGTCAAAAGAAGATTGGAAGAACTTGGAAAATCACCAACAATCTCTTACAAGGAATACTCAGGATATACTCAAACACTGTATGTTTGCTAAAGCATATAAACTGAACCAGCACATAAAACTGATTCAGCTTTTATAGTCAGCCACTAACTTTGTTATTGCAGAACATTGAAAAAAAAAGTAAACTATTTCATTTATTAAATCTTTTCTGTTATTTAAAAGTGCAGAAAATCAGCATGGCTGAAAAGTGAATAATTCAACAAAGTACTTTGAAAAACTTTATAATGAAGAACACTTGACGTTTAATCAATATTCATTACCAAGTTGTTGTTGTTTTTTATAAACAACTACTTTCAAATACCATTTTGGACAGAAATGTTTAATATGGATGTTTAAAATATTTGTATTTCTGTTCAATATTATATATGAATATATGTTTTCTCAAAAGCACTATTCCCCACTCCCCCCAATATTGTTCTTTGGGTTTGCCATGGATATATTTTGCTTTATTATTCATACTTTTTATCGTAGTTTTAGTTTCAACTCCTCAGTTGGGTTGCAGAAAAGGACATCAAATTTGAACTGCCCAGGTTTCTTCCTTTATCCTGGCATACGCTTTGTTCCTGGTACATGCAACAGTAATCAAAAATGTGGAAAAAGGGAGGATAACTATATTTTTACTTTCCTTGAAGTTTTTGGATTTTCCATCATTTTCATCCCTGTGCTCCAAGCCTGTTAGCTCTTAGATAGCAAAGACATTTCAGTTCCTACATAATGGTACTCAAGATTTGATATGTACAGAACAAAATTTTGCTCTGAGCCTGATTTTGATCAACAATTTCTGGGACCATGTTCCTCTTTTATATGATATCTGTGGAATGATCCAAATTGTTATTTTCAGTAAGAGTAGTTCTGTAAACTGTTTTAAGTGACAAGGTAATGTGGAGCTTACTTCTAAAACTCACATTAAAAGTTGGTATATATTACAGAAATGGGAGAGGGAAACTATATGTAACGACCTGACACCTTCAGCTCTCAATTACAGTAACTCTCCTGGCAACCATTCATGATTCAAAAAAAAGTTCATTTATTGAGAATAAATGTACAGATCCAAAGCATTGCTAAGACTAAGCCTGTGAGCACCAAAAGTTGCTTTTACCCTTTTTCCTTCTCCTCCTCTCGCCTCCCTGCCTCCTTAGTCTTCTCACATTCTCCCGTTGGTACAACCTTGAACATTCCATTGCTTGTTATAAGAGCCAATCTGCCTCTAATGGTCTTCCATCCATCTTCCCATACCTTACATCCCTCCCCCCATGACTTTTAATGGCAGAACCACAGCAAGTAAAAAAACAAGTGAAAAAGCCAAGCTAATATTTAGCGGAATTGATATTTTGCAATGGTATTTTGCAAGGATTCTGGCACTATAAATGATTCACACTTTTAAAAAATTCTTTTAGTACATCATGAAAAGTGGAATTTAGGGAGTTGTCCCATGATCAAATTCAAGAGTTCTATAAAATTACTAGAACTTACAACTTTCTTCCTTAAGTCTCACTTTACATATTAAAGGAAAGACAAGAGAAAGAAAAGCATTAAGTGAGTAAATTGGCTGAGAGTAAAGACTCATAAAAAGCAAGCATACATAAGACCAAATTGGGTACACAAAAGATTATGAATGACAATGTTGTTTAGACCTTATATCTAGCTGAAAATATTAATTACCCACGGTTCACTGATACTAGTGGAAAATGGACAGGGAAGCCGGCCCTGAAGAAATAAGAAGGACAAGACAATCATCTATAGCCATTCAGTCTTGGGTGCCATGAGAAGTAACTTGTAAGAGTTTTCAATTAGATGTCCTCAGGTGAGGGGTCCGAGGACAAATTACAATACACATCCTCCCAATGAAGACTTATTTTCATACTTTCTTTACCCTATGAACAACATGTCAGCCCCATTAGGTAGACCAGATTAAGTAATCAACTCCACAGGAAGGTTAAAACTACTTTTATTGAGATTAGCTGTAATAATAGAATCTTGCAAGTCAGATTGTGCTGTACTTCCTCTCCCTTCTTATACTTAAGTGAATTAGGGAGGTGTCTATCTGAGTTGCTTACAAACTTTATATGTTTGTTATGGACTTAAAATTTTTCATCTCTCAACACCCTAGCAATGGATTCTGCATAACTCCATCAAGATCATCTTCCTTACTCTCTACACAATGTAACAACACCAAAGGGATTGAGGCTGGTTCTGAAAATGTGTAACAATTTGAAAATGAAGTAAACAGATATTAAGAAAACATGAGGTTTTATAAAGTCACTTTCACAATTACTATTCTGTCACAATACATTCAATTATTTTAATGATACCAATGCATAGGATGCATCGATGATTCCCTTCCCAACTCTGCACATTCTTAATTAAATTTGACGATTCACTTTGGGTGCAAATGAAACTAGAACAAATTCTTTTCATTTAATCGGTGTAAATTCTGTTCTTACCTACAGACATTACAAGCCTGGAGTTGTAAAACATCATTGCTGTTCTGACACCATTTTGCATTGTGAAGCATTAAAAAATTACCAGCCTTGTAAACATCTTCTAGTTTCACAACCAACTCAACCATGTCAAGAAGCAGTGTAAAGGCAAGCCTCTGTAAGCAGATTTCAGTAAATTTAACTTGTTTATTTACAATGAAGTGATGAATTTAACTTGTTTATCTATAATGAAGCTCTCTATGGCTGTTCCTTATGATTAAAGCTAATACTTACTAAAATTAAGCTACTCTGCCAAAGAAACTAGAGATAATGAAACTCACCAGCCATTAATTTATATTGCTGGTTTTGCTTAGATGGGTGCCTGTGCATTCACTTCTTAAATCCAGCATGATTCCTGTTTTTATTATCTACTTAAACTGTACTACACTTTCAATTTTTATAGTTCACTATACTTGCCCATCAAGTGTTCTGATTCAATTTCACAAAACATTTCATGATTGTCAGGATCATTATCACTACCTTTCCCAATTGTCTAGAAATATTAGGGCTACATCTCCCACAATTCCCAGGTGGCTGGGAAATCAGAGAATTGTAATCCTAACACATCTAGAAGGTAAACAGTTGTGGAAAACTAATTTTATTGCATGTTCAACGTTTGATCTTATACAACATGGATCTTAATAGGTTAAGATATGCATAATACTGCATAGATCTGCCTTGTGTAGTATTTGAAGAGCAAAAAATGCACATACAACAGGAAGCTGAACAAGAGGAAACTGTGATTAATTCTGTATCCCTATTACATATTTATATTGTTCTACAGATGTTCATTTTTCCTTTTAAGCACACATTAACTGAGAGAGATTTTATATATCCAAGAGGGAAAAGAGAGATGCTGCCGG